ACGCGATTAGTACGCGTGTGTGGGTTTGTTTACTGGAGGCAGGGGGAAGCGGAAACGGAAATCGGAAATCGGAAGAGGGGAGGAGCACACTCAGTTTCCTATTATGACAAATGCATGAAATGGAGTTCAAGCCGAGTATCCCTATCGACGCCACGGGGACCCCAGTCGAATGCGGATTTCCCATCTGCTTATCGCAGTCTGCAGGTGTGTCCTTTCGTGTGCGTCGCCTGAATCCTTGCAACCCCCTTCTGCCCCTTGAAAATCCTAGAGTAACTAGATATAATTCAATCTTCGTTCGATTTTCTGGCGAGGCTTCCGCTTTAAAGGATTATTAAGTCCAAAAGGCAGCCCAAGGCATCGGAAGGGGGGTCAAAATTGAGGCGGTAGTCCACAACACATATCAAAATGCAATTCATTAACTTTATAACCTCAGAAACGAGCTGACCACAGACCAATAAAACCAGAATGAAATATTTACAAAAAGGTTGCCTCTTGTCGCAAGTGCAGCCAATTTCGCAACTGAAGTCAAGCTGTGACAAATATATATGTTAGTATGTGAGCGTGTGAGTGCTATGTAGACTACTATATCCATTGTTTGTGTGGCACGTCTATGTGTGTGTGTGTGTGTACATGCATATGTAGGTGGTGGCAATGGGTGGATGCGAAAATCTTCGGGTATAAATGGGTGGGATGATATCATATCGAATGGGACTGGAAATGACATTGCTGTCAAATGAGCCAGACAATAATGATGATTATGTGCATACCATAGAATAATTATTAATTTGCTTGGCTGCTCAAGCACAAATACGAGTATAATATACCCCTCCACTCACACATACATCACAGATGCATTTAAATTTCAAGTGTGTTTTACAGGGGAAGCAGAAGGGCCGCAGAAGGTTACTTTAAATATTTGTCTAAAGGCTTGATAGATTAGCAATATGTAAATAGTACCCTATTGATTGTAAGTCTTCTTTTTCGTATGCATGCAAAACAGTCAAATTAGGTCAATTGCCTGAAATATATGCCACAGTCCGATGCTCCTCTTTAATTTATGCAAATTTGGCCCACATACAGACGACAGGCTTTGTTTATCTACCCATTGTATTTGCCCCTCAAAATGCATTCTGCAGCCTGTGTATGTTTTTATATGCATGTGTGTGAGTGTGTGGTTGTTTAATACCTTGTAGTTCCACATTTCATCGCTACAAAATCCCCGCAAGTGCAGGGTATTTAAATATTAATTTGCTGCTCGTCTCTCCGGGGAGAAGCTGCATGTCCATGGAAGAATTTGGGTCATGGCGAGCATTTGTTATGATTACTAATAATGCCACTAATGGTGTGGAGTTTTTGTTGTTGTCCCCAATATGGGTTTTAGACAAGTTCACACTGCATTGGCCGGGCTTTGCACAGTAGTGGCAACAGCATTGAAAATATGAAGATTCCCAATTTGATGGGCAAATAATTAAAGCCATTAAGGCATTCATCTTTTGCCTGCTTGAACGCATGGCTCATTGGGTGCACACATAGGGAATTTCATTCCGATTCATTATCTCGTTTGATTTGATTTGCCGCTAATCAAAACACAAGAAGGCTCAAAAACACACTCCCACACACACACACTTCAAAGTCATCCGTCTGTGTGTCTGCTCCGTTTTGCAAGGACACGCATTGTAAGGAGTCGACAGCTGGCAGACATAACACCACCCACTTACTCGTATGTGGCGCCTGGCAATTTACACGCCAGTCAAATTCAGAACGCGTTTGCAAAATATTAACCAAATTAGTTAAATACCAGAAAAAAGCGTTTAAAATCGAGTTTAACCCTCAGACGTGAAAGCTCTTTCGCCCACGTAAATGCCCAATAAACTGGGTGTGCGAAAGTTTTTTGTTTTTTCGTCTCTGGAAAAAAGTTTGGATAACTGAAGGCAGCTGAATGGGTTGAAATATGGGGCAACTTGTTTTTGGATTATTAAATCACGCAAGGTGTTGCAGATCTCGCTGGAGTGAATGTGACTAGAAAGAACGGGAAGGGGCATAAAATATTCATAGTTTTCAGTGTAATCTGCCAACACAAAGCCAATTATATATTTTAAGCCTTAAATGTGTTGAGCTCCACCGCGCTCTTATTATTATTATAAATGCATTGCACACGTTAAACTCACCCATTACATTACTTTCAACAAGTTATTCGGATTCTATTCAATAGTTTATAATTTGCAACATCTCAACTCAAATTAGGTTTATTATGCTGGCCACGTGGAGGGGAGAAAGGGTACCCCAAGCATGTGTGCCCTGCCACAGAATGTGGCACATTGCCAGCAAAAGGGCAATGGCAGCTAGTCGAAAAAATAATAGAGGACTGGGGGGAAAAAACAGCATGGCTATGGTAAAATAAAAACACATCGCGGCCTTATCATTGCACATTTCAGTGTTGGTGTAACAATTACGCCAAAGCCAACAACATTTGGCAAGCATTCAAAAACGCCAGAAGCCAAAACATATACACGTTCCTCCACACACCGCATTTCCCCGATCAGCACAACCCAAAAAAATGCAGCCCTTCGACCGACTCAAACTCATCCAGCTCTGTGTTTTCCTGCTACAAATGTTTTTGATAATATGCAACATTGCAACAAACTAACCAACGACGAGAGTTTCCAGCAAACACACACGAAAATAAATGAAAATGTTTATACTCAATGTAGATGCACGTACACTCGAGGTCAAAATACTGGCACTGCATTGGAATTTTCACAATATTGCAAAGTTACAGCATTTTAATTTAGCCAAGCATGCTTGTGAAGGCATTTCTTTGGATAACTAATTAAAACTATTTTATTTGCACTCCAATTTGAAGTGCTATAACTTTTAGTCCAGTTGTCTACATCTGATGGTATGCATGTTGCATACACACATAATTGCTTTGTTTACGGGGGGCTGTGGCACAAGGGGAAAGGGGAAAGGAAATGAAAGGAAAGGGAGCGGAAATAGGCACACAACCCCTTTTTTGTCTCTGGCCCTCGCCGTAGATAAACCCGTCCAAAAGGGTCGGTCCCAAAATGCAAGCGGAAACTCAAGGACCTTGTTCCACAGCCGAGGGCGCTGGGCCATACATATGCTATATGCTAAATGCTATATGCTAAATGCTATATGCTATGTGCTATATGCTATGTGCTATATGCTATATGGTCTATGCAGATTAATCTGCATAAGTATTAGCTGGAAACGGGGTGCCAAAAAAAGGGAAAGCTGGTTTCCCCGACATGTGAGCCAATGTTTTCCCAAAAATTGAGCTCATAGTAAAATGCATTTTAAAGTGTGGTACTTATCAGCTTGCCTGTGTAATAATAACATACTTACTCATAACATAGCACTAATTCCGAATAAATCCGAAATCTGAATATATTTAGATTCCTTTTTTTTTAATTTTCTTAATCAAAGTAATGCTTTTTCCAGCGCACTCACAAATAATGTGCAATCTACTTTGCGGCATTACTTCTGCGGCCAAGCCCGTACTTTATTAACTTTTTTGCGAACGTCGACAATTAGTTAAATAAAAGTATTAAAATCAATAAAATCAGCTCTGAGTGCACTTTTATTTAAAAGTATTTCCAATCACTTTTTCTATGCAGAAATGGTAAAACATTCGCTAAAAAGTTTGTTAAAAACAGGTTGGCCGCAAAAACTACAAGTGGCAAATAGAAATGCATTAATATTACATAACTGACAGACGGCAACAACAATTTATTAAATTAATTTTGGTTTAACATTACAAATGCCATTAAGGAGTGAAAAATTGTGCACTGCATGGGATGAATTTAAAATGCTAATTGCATTTGAGTATAAATCTCGTATGGCAAAAAGCACATATTCCATATACATTTATATTTATATTTACGTATATATACAAACAGCTGCGTATAAATGCTCTTCATTAACATTGCTGCGGCGCAATAGTCATGTAAATTTCATTAGGAATGCGATACGCAAATGGGGTCAGCTAGTCAGATTCTGATTCTGAATCTGGTTCTGGTTCTGGAACAGGATGGGGAGATGGATAGTCTGCTCTGAATCGAATTTAATTGCAACATTCCAAGGACTTTTTGCATTAAAAGCAAACGAGCGAATAAACATGCAGTGAAAGAATGCCAGCATATTTTGCAGGACTCGAAGGCAGCAAAACAGTTGATCCAGACATAAAATGGGTGTCATCTGGCCAAAGAAATGGGAATTCGCATACACATCCTTGGCCAACTGAATGTGTGTAAACAGGAAATAGGCAAAAAGCAAGGACTCGTGTCACTGACACACACTATCATCCAGGCAAGTGTGTCAAGGAGCAAACACAAGGACGAAACAAATGCAATGCAGGCGTTAAGAAAGCACATAAATGGTTTTCCAAATACTTTGAGGTATCCCAAAGAAAAACAAAACAGCAACAATAAATGTTCAAAAGCACGAAATATTCGCTGCATACAAGAAACAATGTAAATAAAACAAATTAATATCGCAGAGTACTAACTGCACTAACGATGGGAAAAATCTATTTAAATAAATATAACCATTTATAATATCCATACAATAATATCTAGCATTAACAACGTCTTATAATTGAAGCCATTGTGCTTGGGAATAGACCGCTTAATGTTTAGGCATTTGTCCATTCGATTGCTCACCCGAGGTGGAACTAATCACTGACATTTGTGAGCAACTGGAAGCCACTTAATCGTAGGAGTCATCGATTTCGAGTTAGGCCCAATTAGCCACGCCCCTGGACGACCAACTGACGGGTTCACAACGCCCTAATTGAGAGATGCTCGCCGTGTACATGCTAATCAAGTGGGCGTGACAATTGTCCACTGTGTGTGGCAATAGTAAATTATTAAATCATCGACATCGCTGGGGTCTTGGCTCCGTGCTCCGTGCTCCGTGCTCCGGCTCCACATTAATTTCGGGATATAAAAAGCGGACCAGCGACTCGGAAAATTACCAATTACAACATGTCGGCTAAGAAGGATACTCAAAGTGCCAGGGAGCAGAAAAAACAGAAGGCCATTCCATTGGAGAGCTTTCTGAAGTATGCCAATGCATTCTACTTATCAATTGGAATGCAGGCCTACGATCACAAGTATAGTCAAAAGTGGAAGGATGTCCTGCTCCACTGGACTTTCATTGCCCAGATGGTCAACCTGAATGCAGTGCTCTTTTCGGAAGTGATATACGTTTTCCTGGCTATCGGCAAGGGTAGCAATTTTCTGGAGGCCACCATGAATCTGTCGTTCATTGGATTTGTCATCGTGGGGGACCTTAAAATCTGGTACATTTCGCGACAAAAAAAGAGACTCACCAAAGTCGTCAGCCGCTTGGGAGAACTGCATCCGAAACGCTTGGATCAACAAGAGCCCTATGACATGGAGGTTCATCTGAGTGGCTATAGCCGATATAGCAAATTTTACTTCGGAATGCATCTGGTGCTGATCTGGACGTACAACCTCTACTGGGCGGTGTACTATCTGGTCTGTGATTTCTGGCTGGGAATACGTCAATTCGAGAGGATGCTGCCCTACTACTGCTGGGTTCCCTGGGATTGGAGTACTGGATTTAGCTACTATTTCATGTACATCTCGCAGAATATCGGTGGTCAGGCTTGTCTGTCCGGTCAGCTAGCAGCGGACATGTTGATGTGCGCCCTGGTCACTCTGGTGGTGATGCACTTCATCCGACTTTCCGCTCACATCGAGTGTCATGTTGCGGGCATTGCCCCATACCAGCGGGACTTGGAGTTCCTCCAGTCGACGGTGGCCTATCACCAGAGGTTGATCCAGCTCTGCCAGGACATCAATGACATCTTCGGCGTATCGCTGCTGTCCAACTTCGTGTCCTCGTCCTTTATCATCTGCTTTGTGGGCTTCCAGATGACCATCGGCAGCAAGATCGACAACCTGGTAATGCTCGTCCTCTTCCTATTTTGTGCAATGGTTCAGGTCTTCATGATTGCCACCCATGCTCAAAGGCTCGTGGATGCGGTAAGTTCTATACCATTCTATCCTAAATTTTTTATAATTTTTTTAAAATTGTATATATAATACTCAGAGTGAGCAGATTGGGCAGGCGGTCTACAACCACGATTGGTTCCAGGCTGATCTGCGGTATCGTAAAATGCTGATCCTGATTGTTAAGAGGGCGCAGCAGCCGAGTCGCCTTAAGGCCACAAGGTTCCTGAACGTCTCACTGGTCACCGTAACGGATGTAAGAAAGAAAAGCTCGTTTTTAATTCGATTTAATTTCGATTAATCCATTTCTGGCAGCTTTTGCAGCTCTCGTACAAATTCTTTGCCCTCTTGCGCACAATGTACGTGAATTAGCTGGCATTTGTGATTATAGCCACAATTTAACGGCCAACATCGTGTGGCTGTGACATTGTGTGGCTAAAAGGAGCAAATCATCGCCAGCCAATAACTTACGCCGTTTGCCGTAGAGTGCTGTGGATTTTAATTAAAGTAGTAGTTGAAATGATTACCGCGATTCGCAGGTCATGGAACAAATCGAAGAGCGGTCAACTAACCGCCATAGAAATGATTAATTATCGCCATTTCGTTTGCACAAAGGGCCAGTGCCAATGCCAGATGCCAGAGAAATCACTGCTGCCTTTACAATTGGCAACTTCCCCGTAACCCTTGCAATTCACCTGAGTTTCGCACTCCAGACAAATTTAATTAGAGATCTCCCGAATACTTAATTTACCCAAAGCGCCAGATTCGTTGGGTAACCGAGATCAGGCGTAATAAAGTTCTGGATCAACACTTGAACACTAATCTTAGTAAAAAAAAAAAACAGGGACTTCAAATTAGGAATAATTTTACTGCTCAGCAAAGAAATTTTCCCTTTTTTATTACCATTTAGAATCCATCCTTTTTTCAAATCAATCGTATAATCCCCATTTAGACACGCTGCGTGACCTTATGCAGCACTTAAAAGTAATTTCGAAATATCTTTCCGCCCAGCGAAGTGGCTGGCAAATTGCATTTTTTTATGAATATTTAATTGAAAAGTTGACACAAACAGACAACAGTCGGCGGATTTGCGGGCGGGAGGGGTTTGGGCCAGGCTAATTACATTTCTACGGCTGTCGACCGATAGAAGAAAGCTGGAAAGCTGGCCAGGACCAGGACCAACCTGCCAGTCAGATGGATGGCAAAATTGAAGAATTTTTTCAATTAAAATTACTAAAAAAAAAAGGAGGCAAGGAAAAAAGTGGGCTCATGACCAAATGGAAACAAAATTGGAACTTGTCTGGCAGGATGGCATCTAAACAGCAAACAACTGGACTTCAAATAAAGAGTCTTTGTGCAAAATAAATATGTGCCATATCAAACGTCTTTTTGAGGGAAAAAAGCTAAAAGAAACTGGAAACATTTGGAATTTGCGAGTTCGATATGTTACTTTTTATAGTAATTTTTTCCTCAGTGCAAGAATTAGGTGTGGCCCGTGGGGCCCGCCCCAATATAATTACAAATAACGCGCGTCACGAACTTGACTTTGCCAGGCCAGTGTGAATGTAAAATCGGTTGAGGATGCGGATGTCGATGCCTATGGAAATCGGGAGTGGATGGGTGGATGGGATGACCCGCCTCATTGCCACGGAAATGCCCAAATAGTTTCGACTAATTTCATTTGCGTTGGCAGTTTTCGGCGGGCAGAGTTGAGCGAGTAAAAAGTTTCCTTTCGACTGTCATTGCCAGTTCACTGGTTTCTTATTCACACTATGCAGCAAGTATTTAGAACGGGGTGTGTGATTGGGGCTGGCAACCGCAGGCATTCTTAGTGGGTGCCAAGCCGCCATTAATCAGTGTAATTGCAGCGACTCAAATGGCAGTGCCCAGAAAAAGGTGGAGCAAGCCGGCAACCTCAGCTAATTAGAGGGCGTTGCAGGTGGCCAATGGCTAAAATAGACCCCACTCTCGACCATAGAGTTAAGTTTTGAGTAAATATTTCTTGCAATTATATGCTGCGGGATGCTCGGAATAAGCTAATTAAGTGGTATTTAAGATACAGTTCAGAATGGGCCACTTCTAAGAATTTAAGAGCACTCTTGTCATTAATTTAAACTTTTGCGTTGTTCCAGTTTTTATTCTGCAACTGGTTATTTGTTGCATGGGCCTCATTCCATTTATATTTATTTATACATTACCGAAGTCAAATAAATTAATCCGGGCACCCAACTTTGGACGTACTTTGTGTGTGTTTCTTCTCCGCGGGAAAAGAAACCCAATGGGTCTGCAAGTCGGAGAAATATTGGCTTTTAAAAATGTCAATATATAGCGAGCAGCGTGCGCTGATTTGGCAAGAAAATTGCAATTGCAACCAACTTTTTTGCGTTCAGTTGCGTTGCTCGTTGAGAAATTGTATTTCGTTTCATCAAATGAAGAAAAATCGTACATTTTTATAAGGCCAGTAGAATGGGCATGTTGCACGACCATCAGGGGGACGAGCGGTTGTAAGTGGGGAATAGAGTTGGCTACCATTGTCCAGAGTTTTGGCGCCAGTCGGTGCTCCATCTTCTCCATCGTCAGATTTATCCTGAACATGGGGGATCCAAGGAGTGCGGACCAGGAAGCACGTCACTTGGCTGTTATTGAATTTGACATATTTCCGCAGAGTGTGTGCTGGTCCAATTCTGCCACACAGTCGGAACATGCTAACTGAAATATAAACTTTCAAAATTCCAAAAGTGCAGATTAACAGAAAATCAAGCCACAAGTTTTGTAATACAATCGAAGCCCTAAAACATTTAAGGGCCCTTAAAGTTTTGATCTGGGTCACCTTATAGCATGACATGTGTAATCTTGAAATAGTTCAAATGCATATAAAAAGCCGCAAATTGTAGAGATATCTACCCTGAAATCGCAATTTTAAAGTCCGAGCTATGAGCCATATGTAGTAATTCGGGGTCAACTTCCTGTAGTAGTCGATTTGTAGATAGGAGATTTGGACGAGTGCCCACTGTACTTGGGCCATTGTGTGTGTGTGTGTGTGTGAGATGCACCGGCTAAGGGATTAGCGTCATTGCCATTTTTGGCGTATTTCTCATGTGCCCTAAGCTCGCTAGTCGATGTGACCCGGCCACGCCTCCTATTCCAGCCGCCCTTGCACTGCATTTACAGCGTCCTGGTGTGGGTGCGCCTCGGTGTGTGTGTGTGTATTTGTCAATTTTCACTCACTTCATTTAAGTAAACACATTTGCTGCATTTCATATTTCCAGTCACGTTCTGAGCATAAATAACACACACCCGCAAACGCCGCCATACAAATGCGAAGGCGCGTTTAGCTAGTTCCTAGTTTTGGATTCGCCAATCAAATATATTTTAAGGTAAAATGTTAGAAAATTTGCTGCCTAATCACGGTTTTGTAAACTTAGTTCCTGAATTTTTATACTAAGACGTATAATAATATTTTTCTGAATATATTGCAATTTTCACGTTTTGAGAACATTCTCTGCGTGCTGGTTGCACTACATATGCCTTGGGTTGACTTAGTTTTGTTGACGATGGTTGCCAAGGATCAAAAGAAGGCACCGAACATGTAATCGTACTTGTGCTGAGAAAGTCGATTCTGTTTACAATCCATTTTCAAACTCCCTGGAATTCCCTACTCCAAATTTTTGTAAGAATGCGAACTTTGAAAATATTGAAACCGCGTTTCGGTGGCGGGTGAAATTAAATTTAGGACGACGCTGTTGTTATTCCTTTTCGAAAATTTTGCGGCTGGCGCGAGCTTTTCGCCATATTTTCCTATTATTTTTGGTTGGCCAAAAGTTGGCAGAGCAAATTCTTGGCCAAAGATACATAATTAACGACCCTTTTCAATAACTAAACAATTTCGAGTTTCCTTAGCCCGCGAATATTTTTGCAACGGCTGCACTTTGTGGGCAAAAGAGGAATGGAATATTGCTTCGCAATATCGACATTGTCTGGCGCCAGAGCCCACCACAAAAATTTAAATTAAATCTAAGTTGCATCGAACTTTGCCGGAATAAAACTGTTATGAACAGCCAAATTTAAGAGACACAGAAAGGGTATTCGGTGCTCCTTGAGCATCTTTGTGTAGCACAAATTACGAAATTTTGGGTCTTAAAAAGCCGCGACTGAGTTACATATTCTGTTTTATAACTATAGGCATTAAACGATTACTAACTTAAATAAGGTTTCTTGAATTAAGGTAATTAGTAACCTTACAAATTGGAATAGTTACATGAGTTAAGTTTCCAGTTGGTCAGGAAGCCAATATTTTGCATAACAAACATGCTGCCCAAAAATTAATTGCCTTGTAAACAGCAATTTACTCCCCAATGAAATATTAATCCATACTTACAACAATCACACATTCTGGGTCCCATCGTATGCCCAGGTATTTTGCGCAAATGCAAATAGCAGATGCATCCGTTTTTCAGCTTTCCAGTTGCTGGGGAAAGCTCGAGCGAAAATTAAAGCATTTATTGTTGTGTTGCTTGGGTGGAAATTTAAATTTCTTAACGCCGCAAAACGGTAAGCTTACAAATCCAAACAATAAACAAGAAACAATTGCTCCCAAGAAAGAAAAACAGGAGGAACAACAATATCGACAGCAGTCGCATTGGATAACAATGGGAATTTTCCATATTGCTGAAATGCAATTGCAAAATGCTGCTTACAGGCTTCCCACACACAAACACACCATCCACACACACAAACATACAGAGCAAGGAAAACATAAATAAACGTAACCATCAATGGTTCAATTCTCCATGCAATCGCATGATTGTGCAGGGAAGGAACTTCCGGAGGGGATCCAGGATCCAGGATCCAACTTTCAGGCATTGAAATCGACCAGAAAAATATTACACACTTATTTCAAAGTTTACTCAGAATAGTAAACAATTTTACCAATTTTGTTTTCTTCATTTCAAATACGAGCATGCTTAATGTTTTACTACTTAATACGTTTTTATTCGGTGCCCATTATTCAAACCCTTCGAATAAACATTAAATGTGTAATTAACTTTACTTTAAAATCTGCAATATTGTTAGACTGCTAATATCCTGCAGCGAGGAACTGTAATGCTTTTAGTTGCCTATTTACCCACTTGTACTCATATTCAATTGTTTGCATACGGAAAATGGAACCATGCGAAGCTCACTGAATGCCACATTCAACGTCTATTCATAGCTGGCGATGTAGTCCTTGCTGCCCAAATAATACGTTAAACAATAAGTACAAGTTGTAACACACGACTGCTGCAGACAAACAACGCGTTTCGCCATTAAATGTTGGAATCAACAACCGAACCGATGATTTGGACTCTCTTTTAGGATAAGTAAAATAAAACTGTCAAAGATCTGAAACTGTAAGAAAATAAAAGGCATACAGAGAACTTTCATCATTATAAAAATAGAAAATATTGCTTTTCAGGTTCCTTTAACAGCTTGCCATTTAGATGCTGATACGGGTTCGTAGCCGTGTGACTAATAAACCCCGTATATTTTATATGTCCTGGCAGGAGGACAATGGGTGGGATCACACATTTTCATCAACAGGAATCTGGTTTATCGCACTTTCCCATTCCTGAGCACACATCTACATTTTATTAGCCCTGCAGCTATCCGTTCACATAATTCGATGGCGCCTTTCCCCGTCTATTTTACTGTCTTCTGGTTTATTGCCACCACCTGTCCCCGCAATCACTCTCTGTTTTGCCATTCCAATGAACAAATAAGGATGGGTATTTGTCCTGATTTAATTAAAGTCACCCCGCACAACAACACGCCTTTAAAAAGTGAGTGAATAGTGCGCCCACGTTGAGCTTAAATATTTTAATAATATAATATACGGAATTTGATTTGATTAACACTACTTTTCCAATCAAACCCCGTCTTCTAAGCTATTATAAATCCTTATCAAGCCAATTAGTAGTTGATGGAGAGACTCAATCTGGCAAATCTGTGTGTTGGTTTTACACTCCACCTGACATATTTCCATATTATGCGACTAAGCTAATGCAACGACTGCGATTGACTGAGTGGCTTCCAAATGGATGATACGGATCAACAGGCAGCATCAACACAGAATCAAATCGTCAAAAAATTTGATTAGTCGTCACTTGGTTCTGCAATAGTTGGGTGTCCTGGTCCCCCAAACTTACCCCATCACTCGGCAGCAGGGGCAGCAACATCCGATAGCTTCGTTGTGTGCCGGACTTGAGAGTACTCCTGCACTCCAATGTGAAGGACAGGCGAGGCACAAGTGCTGAAATTGCGTAGGGTCCGATGTCCGTACATATCGATGTGGGGGGTGGAGTAAGGGTAGTAGATGTAGGGGCTAGCAAGCAAATAACAAGATTTCACGCTTGATTTTCACATCAAAAGCCGGATAAAGAAATGGGAAAATCTCTGTGTCGTGTGCAAATGAAACGAGGCAGCAAACAGAATGCGGATTGGACCCGTGCCTCTGCATCGGATTGTTTTTCATAGCAGCAAATTGAAGTTTACAAAGTATCGCATTTGATGAACATAGAGTGGGTTTAGTAAATTCATTTTTCAGTCTGTGTTTCGGTCTTGCTCTATAGCTCCTCCATGGACTCCAGTTTCAGCAGGCGTTGTTCGCCCAAATGCTTCTCCAAAGCCTCCAACATGGCGTCTAGGAAGTCCGATAGACTGATCTTCTGGTCCAGCTCGAACAAAGCGCTGCTGGTGTACTGGGCATGGGCCAAAAGAGGCAGCTTTCGCAATGTGCGGCCACTTAACCCAATGCTGCGCTCAGCCAATTGGGACAGCAAACCCTCCCCGGCGTCCTCCGCCTCCAGAACCTCGCGCTGCAGAACTCCCGCCGACATTAGCTCAGCCAGCATGCCCTTGTAAATTTCTCGGATAGCGGGAATGCCGGGATATCCAATGAACAGTCGGATATCGGCGCGATCCACGAAGGCCAGATCAATGCTTTGAGCCAGGTTAGATGTGGCCAGAATTAGAACATTGGGACAACTCTTAATGGCATCCAGCTGGGTGAGCACAGCGTTCACTACACGCATGGCGTCTCTTGGTTCATTACTAGACATGGCACTCCTGGCGTAGGCCAGCGACTCAACCTCGTCAATCAGCACGCATACCAGGTTGTTTTGATCAGACACTAGCTCTGCAATCTTGTAAAACAGTCGCGCAACCAGCTTGCCGCTCTCAGAGAACCACTTCGAGAACAGGCTGTGGCTGTTAATCTCCACCAGGTGGGTGTAAGCATAGCTTCCTTGGGTCCGGATTGCCAACTTCTGGGCCAAGGCCTTGCAAAGGCTCGTTTTTCCTGTTCCAGGTGGTCCGTGGAGCAGTATAAGTCGGTTACAGGCGATTACATTCGTGTCCACACGGTGTAGAGAGAACATCAGTGCCGAAAGGGCAAACTTTAGGAGCTGGAAAAAATTGATTTTTTGATTTCAGCTAAGACAATAAAACATGAATGTCATTATGACATATACGTACGCCAAGTAAACTGCAATGAAAGTCATGCTAGCATACACATTTGACCTCTCTCACCTTTTCCTTGAGTCCTGGTTCATAGATGAGGTTCTCCCACAGACCCACAAACTGAGCGGCCGGCAGGAGCTCATGACTAGCTGCCACGACGCTATCAATGCCATCGGAACCTTCTTCGCTTGAAAAGAGACCAAGTTGCGCTTCCTCCGGCCTAGTGGCGTAGAAATGGAAGCGATATTTTCTCTCGTCGGCCTTAAGAGGCTGCGTCTCGCCATTGTCACGCTCCAGAAGCACGGAGTGCACAAGTTCAGTGTACTCCTGCGTCAGATCAGGGTGGAATGCGATATTTCTGGGCAAGTTTCTTGCCGTCTGAAAATGCGCCTTTAGGGCGCTCTCAATATTGGCTTGATGTGCATTAGGGCGACTGAAAATGGAGATAATTAATTGAAATTCCCATCTGACGACAGGTGATACTCACGCATCGTTACCTCGCAGGCAAACTTCCACATGAATCGTGTCGCTATTGCTCAAAAAACTCATTTTAATACCGAAGAAGCTTTGAAAAGTCGCGGGAACAAAGAAATTATAAAAAGCGACGCCAGCGTAGTGTGACCAAACTGGACACGGAAAAAATACAGCGCACTACAACCTATTGCAAAATATTAAGCACAAGTATCGTAATATTCGATTTAAAAATTTGCTTTCTGACATTGCTAAGACGAAATCAAATAAAATCTCAATGATTTCTTTCTATTAACAACATTTATTGTATTTAACACTAGTATTTAATCGTGGACTCCAAGAAGTACTTGTTAAACTTGCGCCACCCGAAGCGCTTCTTGGGATCTCTTTTGCTCCACTCGGGCGCCAGATTGGGCATCAGTCCCGCCTTCTGAGCCATGGTCACTAGAGTGCCCATCTTCTTCTGCTGCCGGTGGCACAATCCGGTGATCCTTCTGGGCAGCATACAGCCGTCGGAACGGACATACTGCGAAAGAATAAGCACATCTGTGTGCTTGATGTCCAGGCCCAAAGTGCATTCCGGGCAAAATTTGGTCTGGCAGGCGGATTTGAGCATCAGGTTGGCACGCGGCGATTCCACATTAACGCCCTCGAAGATCTTTACACTGTTCTCCTGCTTCTCCTGAACTGTAAATGGTATTCATTTAGTTTTGGGAATGACCACTTATTAAAGGGGTTATGAAACACTTCACAGAGGTCTGTGAAACTCACTTTCTTTTATAGGCCTTGGCGTTGTGGTAGCCACGCCACGCGACTGGATCATGGAGGTTCGGACTGTCCTGGAGGCCCACTGCAGCAGGGAGGACATGTTGAAGGCGTTTTTTATTTACAATTTATTAAAATTGTGCACAAATGCAATGTTATTACTATGCTGGCCATTCACCACGAAAACCGCAGGGCTGCCACTTCAAATGACGTTAAATATGTCCTATCGAAGAGTGTATCGATGTCTCTTTAAATAACGATATCTGTAATGTATTTTGATGGCTATTTTAATTATAATTATCGTAGATATGTATAACTAATTTAATTGAATATTTTATAACGAATCTTGTAACGAAGTCTGCAAGGCATATGGCCTTGTTTAGTTGTTATCTATGGGAATATCCCTATGATGATTCGATAGATCGATGATTATAAAATCAACGAAAATTATCGCTACACGTATAACAAAGACGCCGGCTGGTAATAAAAATAATATGTGTAAGGAAATGCAAGAAAATTATGGCAAACAGAGACCAAAACCCAAACTATTGCAGCCGCGTCAATGAGCAGCAAGAGCACCGTGGTGTCCTCCATCATCTCGGGCCTCCTGAGCATCGTTCTGTTTGGCACACTACGTTTCTACTCCGAATGGTTCAACGACTCGCAGCTAAGGGTTCTTTTGGGCGGATACCTTTTCTCCTGGGTGTTCATCCTGAGCCTCACGTGCGTCTCCAATGCGGAAATGGTCGTCTTCGGCCAGGACTTCCAGGCCAAGCTGCTGCCCGAGATCCTGGTCTGCCTCTCACTCACGGTGGCCGCCGCGGGAATCGTGCATCGTGTCTGTGCCACCACCAGTGTCCTCTTTTCCCTGGTGGGGCTCTACTTCCTTAACAGAATCTCCACGAAGTATTACTCCATTCAGGTGCCCACCGTGGATGCTCCTGCGACGAGGAAGGGCGGTAAAAAGTTCAAGTGAACCGATCGCCTGGTCCTTACTTTCTTAACAAAACATTCGAATACCTATATTAAATATAAATAAATAATAAACCGACACTCTCATGTTAATTGGTCCCAGCATTATTACTGTTCGCCAGCCTTATACTACTTACTATTAGCACAGAATAACGTAATCCTTTCCATCAGCAGGAACAAAACCGTAGATGCAAAGTAGTTTTCTTCATCCAACCTTATTCACATCGTCCTCTTCTCAAGCCTTTTGCGGAAATTGTATTACTGCAGCTCTCCCATGTTTTTACGAACTGCATTTTCCGTAGTTAATTCGAATGATTTAATAACTGAAAAATCGGTTTAGTTCGCTACAAACATTTCGGATTTATTTTGCCCACAAAAATTGCGGGCATAGTGTGACCAGTCTGCGTTTTACGTGCTTAGTATATTTTAGTAGAGAAATAATGAATTTCCTAAAAGTTGCCAGATAGTCGAGGCTTTAGTGATTGTTTTCATTGAATACGCTTGGAATAAAAACATTTTTTACAGAAATATGATAACACCTATTTACAAAATTTTTGTATCATGCATTAGGATTTACCCAGTGTTATGTATAATTATGAAAGAAACTTAGTGATTTATAAGTGGCAATTTTCCGATAGTCTATTCAAGCACTCTGGCAACACCGCACCTAGGCGTGCCTTCAGAGGTTTCTGGCAACGCCACTTGAATGGCGTCGCGTCTTTTTTGTAGTTCAAAATTTTGTAAAATCTTAGCGAAGTAAATTAATTCTAATTTAGTAGTGTAGCGGTTAGAATCTTTTAGTCAAGTTTTTACTGCAAATATGTAAGTTGCCAACACGAGTGAAAGGAAGAAAGCATACCAAATTCCAACACACACAACTATTTTTTAGGTCGAAGCACCAGAACAACGACACTCTCGAGCTGGACGACATACTCAGCCAGCCGGTGAAGGACAAGGAGCGCTTTGCCGCCTTTATGATGCGCAAGCTTGCCGAGAATAAGCCGGCCCAGAATGACAACCTCTTTGGAAACTTCAAACTTGACTTTGACCTTAATTTCGATGTTCCACTGATCAAGAAGTCTCAGCCCAAGACTCAGTCCAATGTACCAGAAATAAAGCCCCTGGGGGAATTGGGCAGTGCACCTAATACCGCCACCGAGAAATTCAATGAGCCGCCTGTGGACCAGGCATCCAATGAGAATGTCCCTCCGCTTCGCTCGCCCACTTTTTCGCCAAATCATCGACGTTCCTTGCGCCGCAGTGGAAATGTACCGGGATCTGATCAACTACGCCGACATGCCATACGCCGGCGGTCCAGAAGCTGTGGACGCCAACTGCTTCCAGAGTTCGAGGATGCCGTAAACTTGACCCGCAACATGTCAAGTCCTGTAAACTTCGTAAGATCAACACAGATTCCAGAAATTCTTTATCTTTGTACTTTCAACATTGCTCTTTTAGTTGCCAGAAATAAGCAGCACACCTTGCACAGAGAAACCAAAAGAGGAAGTTAATAAAAAAATTAAAAATAAAGCAAAAGAAGAAACTGACAAACCAGCGGAGAATCCAAAGGAACTATCAGAAGAACGAGAGCCGGAAAATCCGCTGCAGACAACGGTGAAGTCACCTGCCAGGAACCCCGTTCTTGTTGCTGAAATTGAACAAATCTGCAGAGAGCGACAGAGTTCCTTTAAGAAGAATGTACTGCAGCTTGAATATTCTGGACGGGCACCGAACTCGAGTCCCACTTCTCCGTCAACACCATCCGTTGCGGGCCTACGACGTACCTACACAATGGAAAAGGGCCCTGCTCCAGGCCAGCTGCTTCTTTCGCCATCACATCCCTCTACACCCAGCAAACTAAAGATAATGCGGTTTAATAAGGAGATAGTGGTTCCGGAAACGCCACAGCTGCAAAGCCATGAGCCTGCCTGGCAATCACAGCCAGAACCGGAACTCGTAGTGCCGGAAACCCAGCCGCAGGATCTGGGAGAGTTGGTGCAGACCCTATCGCAGAACGCCAGCAGCCCAATTGTGGTGATAAACACATCCAATTCGAATCGTAGTGTAAGGAGAGACTCTATACCGATGAAATCTGTTCCGACAGCGCCAGTTACGGCGTCATCTTCATCACCGATTGCGTCTTCTCCTAGGCAACCAGCCGCTGCCTCTACCCAGAAATCCATTGCACAACCTCCGCAGGTCGTAGAAAATATGCATGCCATAATGACAGACGACGAAAGCGACGAACACCCCAGCACACTGCCATTAAATCTAGCTCCTTCGGGTGGGAACACAACCCGCCAGCGGCGCTTGCGCAGTAACAATCGGACTCGAGCTACTATCGAGTCACAGGAGAGTTCTATGCGCTTGCTTAACCTTCATCGGTCGGTAAATGCCAAAAAGTCTAAGGCGCGAAAGACTGCTATACCGCTGAATAAGGCCCCAAGTGAACCTATTAATGGCGAGCAGTTCGCCAACGAGCTGGCCCGCATGAGCAACTACGAGATTTTGGATTTGCGCAAGCGCAACTCGTTGAACGAGATATATCCTTTAAATGGGCACAGGGACCGTCGTTCAGAGAAGCTGATTCTAGACGAAGAGATTAAGAGGGAGCTTCTTCGTAGAAATCTGATGGATGAGGCCGAAGGGTTGCCAAAACATCGGTCCTCTGATGATTCAGATGAGGAGTATTTACCACTCCCGCAAAAAACACGAAATAAATGCAGTGATCGATCGCAGGGACGAAGACGACCACGAAGTAGTCGACGTGAACCTCCAATGGTGAGTTATCTCATCGTAACGTTTGTATATGACAAAATGTGATAAAATCTCTTATAGTCATGAAGGATAAAGAAAACTTTTTTTTATTCCCTTTGCAGACAACCGAACTGATAAACTATTTGGGCCTCTCCCAGACTTTAAAAACTCGACTCAGATCATCAGAGGGCGGAAAGCGTAGTCTTTACACAAAGGGGGACTCGGATGATTCATTATCGACGGTAAAACTAGCAAGACTAAGCAAGGGCATCCAAATTGTTCCGCCACCTCCTGCTTATCTGCGCTATTCGCAATCTTTGGATAATCTGCGTTGCTCCGGAAAACTTGATTTCGATAACGTTGTGATGGCAGCCCCACCAGATTTCCATGATAGTCTAAGTACTGACACCATCGAAATTGCTCCTCCGCCACCAGAGCACGTTGTAAATACACGGGACAGAAGCACAAATGGCAATAACAATTACCTTCTTTCACCTCCACCGGAGTACGAAGGGGGCAAGGAACACGATGAGCGACCCAGCAGGTCGCGTTGCAGAGCCAAACAACTTCAACAATCCACTCCGAATAGACGAAAGGCGATGGAGAACGAACTGGTACCACCTCCTATCGAATATGTTGAAGAAGAGGAGCGAAATGATGAGCGACCAAGGACGTCAAAGAAAAATAGCAATCCTGGTGACGCAGTGAAACATTGTGAGTCCCCAGAGCATGACGACCCTGAGCAACCAAGCATAATGAGTCGAAAAAAATTGAAACACTCCAAAAAGAGTGCACAAAAGTTCAATAATGAAAAAAGTATTGCAACTTCGGGCGAAAATAACGAAGATTATGACAGCGTTAAGGAACCTATTTACAATGAAGCATGCGGAAAAGGGTCGAATAAAAATAAATCTCAAAATAAAAATGATACTAAAAGAAAGATCGATAAGGATGCAATGGCATCACATACATTTGAATGTATTGAAGAAAACTATACAGATTTAGAGTTGTCATCCAACAAACAGAACCGTAATCACCAGAACGCATCAAAAAGCAAAGGAAATGATCAGTTAACCGATCGTTCATCCAAGTCCCAGGACCTCTCGAATTTCAGCCAGAGTGCAGTTGAGAAAGAAAAATCCGTACCTAAAAGCAATCAAAGGGAAGAAATTTTTGAGAAATCAGATGTTATGGAATCCCTTCGTGTAAACACACCCACACCGCCGATTAATACAACGTCAGGTGATGTTTCCAGCAAAAATTCATCATACCTTTTGTCCGACGATGTAGCTAGCACAAGTAGATCGGCGTTGGAGGTTTTGCAGCGTAGCCAAAGCAGGCCAAAGAGTCGGTCCAAGGATGCACCAAGCACAGATGTAGTGTTCAAGAAACCATTGGCCCCAGCACCACGAGCGAAATCGAAAAATTTTAAGTCTGAGGTAGAAAAACTAAGGCTGTCCAAAATTCCGGTGGAATCAGAGGAACTAAATACAAGTAAGTATATTTTATATTAGGTGCTTTATTTTTTATATTATTATTTTCTGTTTCTTCAGCTGGTATTCGGCGATCGAAGCGAGGTCAAGTTCCACTCCAGATGAGTTGGTGTCACTCCATGGATCCTAGCAAGTTTGACTTTATGCGTGGCTTCACAAAGCCTCCTAACAAAATAACAAAGACGAAAAAAGAAAATCTGAGTAAGACTAAGAAAGCTAGTGCCAAAAAGCCAATGTCTACTGTTCAAAAGAACTTGCCAAACGACAGGGGACCCCTGTGCAGCAGTACCCCACGAATTTCTGAAAAGCTGGCTGAGGGAACACCTTATTCAGAATCCCTTGGCCTAAGTATCTTGCCGTGGGAAGAAACTGCACTTGCAGCAGAGACTGAGAAGGTGCCCAAGAAAAGGGGACGACCACAGAAGGGAGTTGGAGTTGTACAAACTGATACGGAGCCGGAGCCTGATCCTGAACCACAGCCAATGGTATCTTCGGTTGCTCCACTTCCAAGTGATCAGAAAGAGCCCGACGTTTCTTGCGAGCAGGCGCCCTGTGCGGGTGCTGAACCAGAACCTGTGGTATTTTCAACTCCTCTGAGGGACGAGCAGGAGGCAGCCTCGACTCAACTGATGCATTGGCTGCGAGGCGTCGGCGATGCACCACCCAGTGCAAGTATGTTGGATAAAAACGAAACAGTCTGTAAGTCTAAAGCCCACATAAATTCCACAACTAATGCATGACCTTATTAATTAATAATTGGCTATTTCTCCTTGCCAGCTCTTGCAAACGAATTGATCTTCTGCCAGGTAGATGGCATTGACTACGCTTTCTACAATACAAAGGAGAAAGCAATGCTGGGTTATATGCGCTTCAAACCCCACCAGAAGCGTAACATGAAACGAGCCAGAGTCCATTCTCTTGTAAGTAATAAATACGCTTCTTCCTATTATACTTCGCAAATCATTTCTTAACCTATTTTGTTTCTAGAAACTCCTTGTCCAATATGGCGAATTTAATGTGCACACCATAGTCCGCGACGATGAAGAACTCAATGCGGTTCTACGTGTTGGTGACATGATCGAGATAGATACGGGTAAGATATTACTAAAATAATAGTTAAAAATATACATATTTATTGTTTCATATTTGTATTTTTCTTTTCTTTTCAGGCACTAGGTATAGTATTCAAAACGCGATAGATAAAGTCAGTGTGCTGATGTGTATACGCACTTAATAATTGATTTTTAATTTCTATTCTAAGTATTAATAATATTTTTTACGTTTTCATCGAAGAAAAAAATGGTTATTTTGTTAAAATATATGGTGTTTACATAAAACCGACTTTGTTTTTTCACGTATTTTTAGTAGCAAAGGTGATAGACCTGCGCAATGTCTTCGTGTGTGGCCATGCAGTTTGTTTTTCCAACCCAATCCAATCCAAGCTGCTCAGAATTTAAAGTTCATTTAATTTCCATTTTCTTTGAAATTCACCAGTTGCTCGCCGTGATGTGGATGTCATTGGAGACTTCAAAAGCGAAATGGCAAACAGGGGTAACAACGCCAGAATGAACAAACAAGCAGGCAACTTTCGAAACAATCTGCACGACTGCTTTGTATGGCAATTTTTGAAAAAGCACACACACAAAAATCACACGCAGCAGGAACACAAACATAAATTCGTAAAAAGAAAATGGAATCAACAGAAACTTTTCCGGCAGGTGTGCCAGTGCCTACATTCCCACACGCGGCTTGGAACACCGTTTAAAATTAGCAAAACACCATCTAACATTCATTACAGCAGTGTTAAGCCTTTGATCATCGCACGCGCCGCACTCTTTTGCTTGTTTCCACGATAATACACTACAATTAACAGGCTTTAATAGAAAAATAATATTTCAAATATTTATTCTCTTGTTTAGCAAAACTCTGGTTTGGCTGGGAATTCAATTCGTAAGTAAATTGGATGTTTAACAAAAAGGTCATGTTACATTTATTTGCTAGCACATGCTATCGGCTCAGCTATTTTCTCCGAGTGTGTAATCATAATAGAATCGGAATTTCTCTGGTCTGGGTTGGAATCGGCAGCTGGACCCCACGCCAACCGCCATGTGCAGCTCATGCATGGCAATCAGCGGGAAACCTGCAGTGTTTCTTTGAAGTCTCGCTATCCAGTGGAATGGCTGACGAACAAGAGCGAAGACATCCCACAGGTGGACAGATATTGGTGACTGGTTAGCTGGATGTCCAGCCAGTTGCTCCAATTCACGTTCAATTTTCATTTTCCTGCCGGCAGGAGTCTTCAACTCCCCGGTAGGCATGCCAACAAGGACACGCAGCATTCACACATGGCACATTGGAAATTTATTGCACAAAGCAAAAGACTTCTTGTTAATATGGATGATATGGAAAAATGAGGTGAATATATTGACCATTTAAATTGGAAATTCATTTGTTTATACGGTTGTCAACTGATCTGAGAGAAACACCTAGCACAGTACACAAACAGAATGATTGATGGCCAATAATGAGTATGACCAAAGCTCATTGTCAAGGAAAACAGGTGGGTTTCGCCGTACAAGTTTGTAGGCTTTTCTTGGCAGCACTCCTGTTTTTGGCTGCAATAAATATTATTTTATATGGGAGGAAAAAGTTGACCGGCTGAAGTATTTTGGGTCACTGTCTGGTGTATAAAGTGTATACTTACTGACCCCATTCATCTTGCTGCTGGCATTGTTTTTTGTGTGGCGTTGAAAGGAGATATCTGTTATCAAGTATACGCCGGGTATGGCCGGACCATGGCAAAAAGGTGCTCATGCATATTTAAAAAGTTCTCGGCGTGAGTGTGTGGTTTTTTGTTGGGGTGTCAACAAATCCATTTTATAGGTGGCCAAGAACCCTGTCATTGCTCGGCTAGAACCACATGCATTTGCATTACGGGCAAGAGTCACAAAAGTTTTTTTTTTCATTTTTGTTTTAAAGCAGCTGCCGAGTGTCTCATGTGACTGCCAAATAATAGACCCATATCAAAATTTAATTTTGCTGTGGGTCAGCCGTGTGTACGCAACTGAATGGACATCTACACAGTCAGTCCCTCGCAAATATACAAATTTTCCTCTGCTCCGGAATGTATATCTTCATTTATGTGCGCCTTAAAGAGCTGACCGCAGAGAATTGGTTAACCATAAATTCCTATTTAATTGCTTGGCTTGAATTCGATTATGTACAGAAATGAAGTTACGATAATGTTTGCAAAAGGTTACAAGTTAAAATCATGTTGTGTAGCCTAACAGAATAATATAGCTAAATTGTAAATTTAAGAGGTTTTTACTCATGTCGATGGGTATACGTATTTCATAAAAAAGACTCTTTAGCATCGAAAATATCAATTAATTAATAGTTTTATTGGCTGGCGTTCAAATTCAATTTAATCAGCATAATTAAGTAGCAATGGTTAATTGGACATTGTATTAATTAATCGTTTTTGCTTGATTTGCTCTAATAGCCGGGCCGAACGAGCAAAAGCGAAACATATTTTTTCAATTTAGATAAAAGCCTTTTCATATTTCGCTAAAATTGCAGCCGCAGAAGCCACATTCACTAAATCTACCACATAATCTGACTACGTGTGACATTTTCTCCTGCATATTTCGCCTTGATTTTTCGTGACTTGCCAGTTTTTCACACACCAACGCTAATTAACAGCAGCAGCTTCGCTCATTGCATTTGCGGCTGATTAAAGCATTGTGTGTGTCCATCAGGTCTGCCTCGCAAAAATTCTAAATCCATGACAGTGTCAGTCGGTCAACTGCGGCAATTCCCCAGTGCACACAGTGCGAAATGCGCACAATTTGTGCAAAATTGTTGAAATATGAGCAAAAACCTAAACGATCAACTGCGGCCAACGTTGCGTATACGTGATGTAACTTTGCGCAGTTTTTAAACATGGATAAGTATTTGGCATGCTCAGATATTTTATTTTGTATAAAATTGTACTCTGAGAGAAAGCATTGGATTTTTGCAGTGTTCCGTGTCCCAAATTAGTTTTGCTTTTGGAGTGCATCCACGCACCGCTTTTGATGACCACTACGAGTTTGGAGTAATGTTAATCAGGAGCACATGAAATTATCACGATAAAACCGACGGCACATTGTCTGATTAACAGGTTGTTCTACAAGGCTTTTGAATTTTTCGCTCCGCCATTCATTTTAATTAATGTTGTTTCTGCTCTTGACGTTGTTGCTAACCGTGCTTGGCGAAAGTAAATTATTCAAATTAGTTCTCGTTTTGCATTGAAATGGGTTTGATTCTCGGGGTGAGAGTTTCTCATTTGCGGTCAGCTTGGCGTTAGTACTTACAAACCTTTATATATATATGTATATATATTTAAATGAATTCACATGTGTCCCTTTGGCGTAATGAAAATGTTGAAATTTCAAGAAGCTTTTAAGGTCCTTATGCCCCGCCGCCGAATGGCTGTCAACCCAAGAAGGGTTCAAGGAATTTGGTCAAGGGTTGATGGTGGGGCTTAATAAGAGTACAGGATGTCAGGCCTTATGCCAGTCTTTTAGGCTATATTTTCGAGAATTCCCCCCACAACCCATTCGTGTAGCCTACTTATTTGGGCTTGAATAAAAAGAGTACTTCTTTTATTGCACCTATTTGGATTCAATTACGAAATCGGTTTGAGTAGCGATATGCATAGGAATTCTAATGCAAACGGAAGTGCAAATAAAAAGCAGCGGTGCTCGAAAATTGAAATCGAATTCAGGGATTTTGGCACGTGTCCAGATTCATTTTTTCCAAATTCGCGTCCAGATATAAAGAGTAAATATTTGTAATTTGATTGTGCATCGGAAATGCATCGATGCACTCGAGTGATTTATGCATGGCAGCATTTCTGTTTCCTGCCGCCGATAAATGCCGCATTAGAGGGGGCGTGGCGTTCAATGGGGCAGGTCAATCGATGAACCGAAACATAAACACCCAACTTCAATTTGCCCAAAAATATCGCACTGCCATGGAGCCATAAAAACCTCTTAGCTCGGACCATTTGGTGCGACAGCAGCGTCGAAAGTGCTAACTCAGCAGCACCGGGAGGAGTCGCCTTTGATGATGACCACGACCTTTGGACGGACCTCGGAGACCAGGTGCTGGTCAAGTGTCCATCCAGAGTGATTTGGTATGTAAGATGCACACGAACGTGTGCAAAAACGCTGCATGCAAATGGCTGGTCCAACTTCCCACAACCAGGATAGTGCCCTGGGTGGCCAGGTTCTGCCCACATTCCTATGCACAGGAGCAACAGATAGTTTTCCCGGCTTCCAGGAGGGGAGAGCCGGCCATATGTTGGGGAATCCGGCGCAGGCGCAAAGAAAGTTGGAGGGGAAATTCCGAACAGTGGTTGTCTGAGCAGAATGTCCTTTTGTTAAAAATATAAACGTATGTGATTTTAAAAAATATAATATTTGTACATTCAATTTATGATTTTTATATTTTTAATAGCTAACGCTCATCTGCAGCAGATTAAAACAATATGTAAGTCTAGGCAAATGTCTAAAGAGTTCACTTAAAGGGATTTCCCCTAGATCCATCTAAAACAGGCTCAAATAGCAGGAAGTTAACCATTAAGGAAGACTGACGTGGCGCCCACTTTGAGCCCGCTCATCAGCTGTTCTGGCCCTATCACAGCAGCTGGTGCCGCTGATAAGAAGCCACCTCCCCATGCCACCTGCTCACTGGAAGCGGTGCTGCAACTGGAAGGTGAAGTATCCTCGGCATTTTGGGCAACGGTCGGCTGGTCGTCGGCTGTTATCGGCTGCCAGCTTTTGGCCACAGTCGCAACAGTTTGGCCAAAACATCCGCACATTTCAGTTCCTGTACGGCGTTGCACGTTGACGGTATCAGCGGCGTTTCAAGCGGAATAAAGTTGGTGGCGGTTGCCAACAAGTGACGTTTTCAAATACGATTGGTAGAAGTGATCAACTGTGCTAGCAACGATTTGAAAAGAAGATTATTCCAAATGTGTGCTCTGAACAATTTGGAAACTGAATTCGTTTTGGAATGTGCCTAATTATTTGAATAAAATAGTTTGTTCAACATTAAACTGCACAAGGTGTCTAACGCGGCGTATACGTTATATTAATAAATAATTTGCCTGCGTCTAAACCAGCATCAAAAATTTTAAAAAATTTACTGGAAACTAAAGCCGACTGCTTGTAAGTCTTGTTTATTTAATTGAATATATCAATTTATGTG